ACATTTGTCATTCAAACCTTTCAATCAGGAATGTCACTAAACCCATCTTTACATGTGAGTAAATATAGACAGGTTACATTATAAAACATGTACTTCCCAACTCTCTGCAGTGCTGTGCATCACAGATAAGTGGGGTCAACAGACCTGGGTTCAGGTCCAAGTTTTGTCACTTTCTGGTTATTAGTCATTAACTCTGTGCTATTCCCTTACTGGGCCTCAGTTTCCTCATCTGTAAAATGGAGATAATATTATGTACCTCATAAAAGTGTTGTGAGATTTCAACAAATGATGGTCTTTAAACGTCTAGTATGCCTCACATATGTTTGTGCTCAATAATTAGAAATTGTTTTGATAACAGTTTCAGATTTATCTCTTTCCCTACCTTGCTTACATTTCTCACTTGCTTTATTTTCCTATCTTTCTCTCTATATATATTTCTCTCCCTTCACATCTGTTTTTGAAAATATTTTCCCCACCACTGTCTCTTCTCCATTGCTATCCTCCCTCTCCCCCTCTCAATCTCTCTCATGCACACACACACACACCCTAATCTTGTGTATATATGTTTGTGTAAAGAGGAAGTGCAATTTCCTCCCATTATGGTCCAAGGAAATTCATCTATCAGATACACATTCTTTCAGTAATTCTTTCAACAATTATCTAAGAAGAAACTATTTTATGCAGTAACAATTCTAGGTTCTAGGGAAGTCAAAATTTAACAAGACTGACAAAGCCCTGTCCTCACAAAGCATATGTTCTGGGTAGGGGAAGCCAGGTAATACATGAACAAAGAAATAAAAAAAAGTTATATCAGATAATGGGAGGTAATAAAAGGGAACCAGGGCAGGGTGAGGAGCTGAGTCACACATAAAGAGGAGAGTTGATGAGTTAGGGTCCTCAGGCCTCTGCAAGCTTGAGACTTGATCAGATGGTCAGCCATGTGGAAATCTGGGGAAAGACACAGTTAAGCACAAGGATTAACCTGGTGAAAGTTTGCAAGGCAGAAATGAGTTTGATGTTCCCAAAGACAAGGAAGAAGCCATAGTGAGCAGAATGATGAGACAAGGGGAGAGAGAAGCTGAGCACAGAAAGTTCTAGGTCACATGCAACCCTTAGGGCAAGAGGGGAGTTGGACTGTTAATCTTTTTTTATTTTTTTAAATTTACCTTTATTGTTGAAAGTATTACAGGTGTCCCGTTTTTCCCCCAATAGACCCCCTCCACCTCGCGCCCACCCCCTCCCTAAGCCTTCACCCCATTATCTTCTGTGTCCATGGGTTATGCTTATATGCATATAACTCCTTTGGTTAATCTCTTCCCACCCTCCACCCCCCTTCCCTCTTCCCTCTGAGATAAGACCATCTGTTACGTTTCAGTGTCTCTGGGTCTATTTTGTTTCTCAGATTCTTTTGTTCATTAGCTTCTTCTTAAAGAAGACCCTTCAACATTTCATGTAGTACTGGTTTGGTGGTGATGAGCTTCTTTAGTTTTTTCTTATCTGTGAAGCTCTTTATCTGACCTTCAGTTAAGTTCTTGCTTTTTATCACTTTGAATATTTCTTGCCACTACCTTCTGGACTACAAAGTTTCTGTTGAGAAATCAGCTCACATTCGTATGGATGCTTCCTTGTAGGTAACTAACTGTTTTTTTCTTGCTACTTTTAAGATTCTTTCTTTGTCTTAAACTTTTGGCATTTTAATTATGATGTGTCTTGCTGTGGGCTTCTTTGGGTTCCTCTTGTTTGGGACTCTCTGCTTCCTGGAATTGTAAGTCTGTTTCTTTTACCAAGTAAGGGAAGTTCCTGTCATTATTTTTTCAAATAGGTTTTCAATTTCTTGCTCTCTTACTTCGCTTTCTGGTAACCCCATAATGTGAATGTTGGGCTGCTTAAAGTTGTCCCAGAGGTTCCTTACACTAGCTTCATATTTCTGGATTCTTTTGTTCTTTTTGCTCTTCTGAGCGAGTGTTTTTTGTTTCCTCATATTCCAAATTGCTGATTTGATTTTCGGCTTCCTCTACTCTATTGTTGATTCCCTGTAAATTATTCTTTCTTTCAGTTTGTGTAGCCTTCATTTCTGATTGGTACTTTATTATGTCATTGGTGATCTCACTAGTTTCCTTAATAGTCTTACTAAGATCTTTTAGCATCCTTATAACCATTGTTTTGAACTCTATCTCATAGCTTGCTTGGCTCCATTTCATTCACTTCTTTTTCTTCTATTCTTTCATTTGTGACATGTTTCTTTGCCTCTGCATTTTGGCTGCTTCCTGGTGTTTGCTTCTATGTATTAGGAAGAGTTGCTATGTCTCCTAGAATTAGTAGAGTGACTTTGTGTAGTAGGTTTTCTGTAGGGCCCAGTGGCTCAGTCTCACCAGTCATGTGAGCTGGGCCTTCTAAATGCTCTCCTGTGTGGGCTGTGTGCACTGTCCTGTTGTAGTTGTAGTTGAGCCTTGGTTGCTATTGGTGTCACTGGGAGGAATTGACCTCCAGGCCAATTGGCTGTGAGAATCAGCTGCAACTACAGTAGAAGAGCTACTGCACTGGAGACACCCCTGTGGAGCAATATTTACTTCAGTGGAGCTTTGGTGTTCACTGAGTGTGCCCCTTGAGTGTGTCACTCATGGATTGGTAAGGTTGCAATCCAGCATGGTCAAAGCTGACCACCAGGTGAACTCTGGGGTATCCCAGGAGGTGCAAACTCAGCCTCTGCCTGTGTCCTGCCCAGGGACACCCAGCATGAGTTACACAGCAACCTGTAGATGGCTGCTACTTGTTCTGGGCTTGGAGGTGTCCAGGAGAGGCCAAGCTATGAACCAATGCAGACTGCCACTACCGCCAGGCCTGGAGCCACTTATCAACAGGTATGGGGCACACTGAGGCCAGCTGTTGCTTGTTTGAGAGATTTTAGGAAAGTCCTAAGCATGAGGCTAGAGAGGCCACTTACATAGAAAAGCCATTAGAAGTGGCTTGGATATGCTTGCAAGTAGGGAGGGGGCAGGGTCTCTGGGAATCACCAAAGCTGGGTGAAAGATGTGAGTAAAGTTGATGAAGGTTCAGAGAAGATGTCTGCCCGGGTGGAAGGCTCCTCAAAGGAGCAAGGGCCTCCACCAGCTCTTCTGTCTGTGAGAAAGCTGTCCCTCCAGCTCTGTCCCTGATTCCAGGCAAGTTATTTCCTCTTCGAATGTCCCTGGTTACTTTCAAGCTGCTGCCCAGCGCTGGAGCTCGTAAAGGAGTGCATCTGAGTAAGTCCATGCAGGGGCCCTTTAAGAGGAGCTGCCTGGGACTCCTGCAGCCTCCATGCCACTCAGCCACAGTCCTCACTGGTTTTTACAGCCCAGAGTTGTGGGGACGGCTCTTCTCAGCCCTGAAACCCTGAGCTGGGGTCCAGATGTGGGGCTGGGACCCCCGCTCCTCCAGGAAACCACTGCCGAGATATCCCTCCCGAATTTAAACCACAGCACCAGGTGTGGGACCATGGCTGCAGCTCTGAGATCCAGCCCAGATTCTGCCCCACATTTCTGCCTCTCATACCAGTCTTGATGCTTCTTCAGTTCCCTTCTTGTAGGGCTTCTGTTCAGCTAGATTTCAGGGGTTCTGAATGATGATTGTTCTGTATTTTAGTTATAATTTTGATGTGGTTGTGGGAGGCGACGGGTACCACGGTTACCTACACCCCTATCTTGTTGTCTCTCTGGACTCTTATTCTAATTGCAGTGAAAAGCCCCTGCATGAAAATGATATGCTCTGATTTATGGTTTAAAATTATCACCATGGTAACTTGGTGAAAGGGGTACAAGAGTGAAAACACAACAGCTCTTAAATGAGACTTATTGAAGCCATCCAGGTGAGAGATGGGGCTGGCATGCATTTGCGTGATAGCAGGAAGATGGGAAGAAGTGGCCATGTTAAGGATAGATTATCAAGAGAGAGTTACAGCACTCGTTGGTGGATTGGTTGAAAGATGTAAGGGAAAGAGAGGAATTAAGGATGACACTCCATAGTTTTTACCTATTCTGTTCCTATTACTGGGAATACAGTGGTGAAAAGGAATTTACCAATGGTCTAAATTGTGCTATGGTTTTGGACAGAACCATCTTGTGTCACATAATGCGTAATCTCCTCAGAAGAAATTCCCATTTCTGGTAAACACTCTTAAGTAATATTTCTGATGACTTTTAAAGGTGTTGAAACTTGTAGAAAACCAGACATCCACCCCTCTGCTGCTGGCAAAAGTGTGCTGACCCTGCACCATTCTTTCCTCCTTTTCTCCCTCCATCTATTTTATATAAAATGTTCTTCCAAACAGTGCATCTTTGACTTGCTACTAAAGGCCTTTCCCTTTCAACAATGTTGTAATAAAACTTTGACATATGCTCATAACTAAATGTTCTGAAAGATTTATTTTAGAAAATATCACTCATGGACATATTCCATGGGAAAACAAGAGAATTTTTTTTAAAGCTTAAAATAGTAAGAGGGCAATAACCACCAACTAGTACTTGGTATCTGAATTATTAAAATAAAATTCATTGCTAATAAATGTTAGTAGTAATTTCTAAACTCTGGACTTCAAGAGATTAGTATAGACATACCCTAAAGTTTCTCAATTATAATTGCTACAAAGCCAAAAATTATGAAGAATTTAGTGTTTTATTATAGTACATTTCAAGTATCTACTTGAGTCTTGCAAGAACATGTTTTTAGATTTTAAGAGCTGTAAGGACCCAAATAAATCTTTTTTTGTTTGTTTGTTTGTTTGTTTTTAGGGGCAAAGAAATTGAGGCCAAGAATGGGTTAATGATTACTTGGTATCACTCAGGATTGAATAAGGATTTGACCCTGGGTCCTCAGAGGCCTTTCCGCTATATGTATACAAACCTGAGCCTGCATGCTTACAAAATTTTCCTATTTAATTTCTTAGTAAAAGTTACTTGCATATTAAACATCATTTTAATAACTAAAATAAACTTTTTCTTTTGTTTTTGAAAATTATCTTTCAGTTTCCCTTTCAAGACAATCTCTTTCAATCCATGTATTACCCTCTTCAGTTGAAGTTTTTAGAAACTGTGCACACTTTATGTGGACGAATCCCACAAGTTTTTCTGAAGCAAATTGAGAAAACAATGAAAAGGGCTTATGAGAAGCATGTCATCATCCATGTTGGCCCCAACCACATGCACTGAATATTTCACCTTGTTGCAAGTCAATTAGGTATCTCATGAATGGTCATCTTTAATCTTCCTGGGAATTTTCTGTGTAACTATTTAATGATGCTGCATGACAATTGAGTTTTAAAAGCCTTGTAAAATGTTGCTAAATTGGTTGCCCCTATAAAGAAATATGCTTTTCCCCCCTAAAATGCTATTTATCTGTCTGTTTAAAAAAAAAAAAATGTTATTACTCACTTAGCATTGTTCATGTTGAGCTAGCTGTGAAAAGGAACCTTTGTCAGACTTTCAATTCCTGTTAAGCATCTGAAGCAGTGTATTTATTTTTGTATTCCTGCAACTCTTTCTATGTAATTGGCTCTTCCTCACCTTTGTAATCAAAATAATACATGCTTATGGTAAAACAAATTTTTAAAACTTGTAAAGAATATAGTTTAGTGAACCAAAATCAAGGTTAGATTAGCCATAATCCTACCAACCAGTGAAAAAGATTGTTATTTTAATGTAGTTCCTTCCAATTCCCTCTTACCCTCCCCCCCCCATTTCTATATTTACTTGCTGGTTATCTTTCCCATTGTATCACATATCTAAAACAGGTAGTCTGAGTAAAAGCTGGACCCTATGCTGAGATTTTTATGTAAGAGACTAAAATTTACAGCACTTAATTTAAAATACATCTAGGACAAGCATTCAGACTTCAGCTATCTGGGCAGTGTTAAAGAATGAAGCATATCTTTTGGTGCTTTTCTAAGAAAACTTATTTAGATTTGTGGAAGATTAAATCATAAGAAGCTATGCAACCACAGCTTTTAAGAAGAAATTGAGTAATTGTGTTAAACCTAAAGAATTTGTTTAGCAAAGAGATAGAATTTTGTGTTTGCCCTTAGACAAGAACATTTTATCTCATATCATCAGCAGGTGTGTCCTCCTCTCTTCTTTAAACTTTTGGTCAACTTTGAATTTAATCTGTACAACATAAATAGTTCATCTGATTCATTGATAAGGAAATTAGACTTCCTACCAGACTTAGAAAGGTCTCTTTAACTTTTTTTCCCTTTTCTAGGGTTACCCAGCTTTTAGCCAAGAAACCAGGCAGGTCTTATCACCTAGCGATAGTATAGGAAGTCCTATATTCTATTCCCCAAAGAGATTTGACTTAATCCCTACTTATTCATGTAGCTGGTATCAGCATAATTGTGTTTTGCATAATGCTGTATTTATCTAATAAATAAATCTTGTGCATAAATGATCTCCTGATGTATGCAACAGCCCTGTGAATTTTGTAGGGACCTGTATTGTCTCCACTGGCAAATAAGTAAACTGTAGCATTCTGTTTTACAGAGAAATATTTGGAAACAAAAATATTAAATGCTTTCCATTATATATAAACAGCAATTTGAAAGTATAAAATTAAAAATATTATTTTAATATAACATAGTATTTTATATGTGAGAATCCAGTGGGACATCATAGGTTCTATAATCAGGAGAAAAAAGTTTTGCCCTATAAAAACATATTAAAATCTCAGCACTCCAAAGAAATACATAGATATTAATCAATATTGGTGTGCAGCACCATTATGATGGTAACAAATTAAATCCAAATTGTAGGAGTAATAACCCATATTTTCTCTTTGATCAGTTGGATGGCTTGTGGTTTATTATTTCTGTTAACGAAACTACCATTATGTTGTGAAACTTTTATCTTTGTTGTTATATTTTATGTTTTCTCATTTTACCACTAAAGCTGGCATCATTCATCATTTTATAGCTAAAGAATAAGGGTCAATTTTTGACTTGTCTTTGGAGGGGGGAAAAAGCCAGGATGTGAACATGATTCCCTGACTTCCGTTCCAGTTTTCTTTGTATTTGTTCAGCATGGCCAATAAGACCCACAAATCTCACTCATATTTGTTGGTGGCTCACAGATCTAAAGAAGTTCATTTCTTCTTTTGTTGAGTCCCACAAAATAATCTGCTAAAAAGACTTTGAGTACAGCAATGCCTTTTCTTTTATAAGAACCAGGTTTACCCAGAACTCTCAACTTTTTGTTCTGGTCTTAACATGCAGAATAGAATTTCCAGCAAAGGTCAATCATAGAACTCAAGAACATTCTAGAATGATGCATTATGAAAATGTAAAACCTTAACATTTGTTTTGGTTTTCTGCCTTGGAATCCTTTTGCTGTATCCTGAAATTTTAGGCAGTTTGGTGGGGAATTTAGAGAAAATTTACTCTTCCAACCCCTGCTGCCTGAAGTTCTTATTTTCTACAGTTAGGATGTTACCATGAGATAGTTATATTTTCTGCCTTTGATAATTCCCAGAAAACTACTACATTAGTGCCTTGGAAATATAGTAATTACAAATTTTAATTCAGTGGACTCCTAAAACATGCAGTCTGTGGTCTGAAGTTTGCCAAAGGGTATGTTGCTTAATATGCCACATTGAATGTCTACATGGAAAGGGCATGAGACTGGTTCTCTTGTCTCCTCCTCTCCTCTCCTGCCCTCTCCTCTCCTCTCTTCTCATTTCCTTTAAAATCCTGTTTAGTGAATATGACTATGGAGAATGAAAAAACACTTTCTAATAGCAAAATGTGAGAGTATTTTTATACACATTGAGATTGAGATTTTCATTAGCTGATAACTATAAATGCTGATAATACTTTTCTTACTGAGTTTTTTCCAACACAAATGTCATAAATTGTGACTTATTTTGAAAATTCCAATATTTGAAAAATTAACTGGCTAGAAAATCTACTTAAGTTTTCCTTCAACTTCCAAAATGACAATTTAGCATTTAGGGTATAATGTTCCAAACTTTACTATTTATTTGAGATTTCTATTACATTTTCAATACTTCCATTGCAAATTGTTGTGACTTTTACTGAATTTTTTATTGAAATTAGAATTTAGACAAACTCATAGCAATGTGAGAATATTTATCTTATTGCAATTATGATTTCATAAAATAGACCCTTATTCACAGCCACAAAATAGTGATCCAATAATGTAATAATCACTTCAACCCACCTTGAAACAAGATAACATCATAAAAATTTAGGTAAATGTATAAATGTTGCCTGAGATTTATACAAATACATAAATTGGATGTGTTAGAGAAATCAAAATGAACATGATTCCGTGACCAAATTCAACAATATATTGAATTCAGAAATATGTTCAACTGCATGGGAGCACAAATCAATATGTTCTCACTCAATAGAATGGTAGGGAATCTTTCCTATGTTTTCCTACTTTTTCACCTTCCTCTTTCTCATTTTGCTTCTCTTGGCATTAGTGACAGAGTGACAGAGCTTGGGGATCTTTGTGCAGATAGGACTAAGTTTAATCATTAGATCAAATCTTTTTTAATAAAAACTTTCTAAAAATTAAAAATGCACAAAATACACACACACACACACAAACCATGTGCCTTTTAAAGAATGCGATGGTATTTGTTGTGGCATGTGAATTGAAGACTTACAGTGAAACCTATGTCATATCATTTCACAATTGCAGAGCTAGAATTTAAGGCTGATGAGGTTACTCTGGCAAAGGAGAAATTTGTCCTAGTTTTTTTTTCTTCACAGGTCAAACTGGAAATATTTTCTTGAGACTTCAGTATCAAGCTTTGTGCTTGTACCACCCTGTGCATGAACATGTAAGAATCAGAACATGTAAGAATGATCAATTTTACATCTTTATGTTGCTACTGAAAAGTGCACCCATTGCTTATAATTCTCAAGGACACCCTGAATGCATTTTTTATGTTGGAAAGCTTATGTTTAGTAATTTTTTGGGGGGAAAATACAATAAGAAAAGAATACTCTAAAGAAAAGGAATTATAGCAAATTAAAAGGAACATAAGTATTCTGATTTAATTACTGTCTTGTCTTTTTAAATATCATCTACTGCTTTACTTTTTTTTAATTAAAAACTTTTTAAAAGATTTTTGTTGTTAATTTGGAAATGTGTTTATTTTCTTATATTAAGATTTCAAGTATTAACATTTATAATATTAAATAATACTTTAGAAGTATTAATAGTAAAAATAAAATTGGTTTAGCAGTAGCTTAGCTACTTCTAAAAATCATTAAAAGTGTTATAATAGTTGCTATAGAAAAATATTCAAATAATAATAATCCTAAATGTAAATGGACTGAACTCACCAATTAAAAGGTACAGGGTAGGGGGTTGGATGAAAAAACAAAAATCAACTATAAACATATCTCAGTTGCAAGGACAAACATAGGCTCAAAGTGAAGGGTGGAATATAGCACTACAAGTAAATGGTATCCAGATAAGAGTGAGTGTATCCATACTTAGAACTGACAAAATAGTTGTAAGATAAAAAAGATAAGAAACAAAGGTGGACATTTTATAATGATAAAGGGGACAATACATCAGGAAGACATAACTCTTATACATATGTGCCAAACCAGGGAGCACCAAAATATATAAAGGAACTAATATCAGAACTAAAGGGAGAAACTGACAAAGATACAATTATATTAGGGCACCTAAATACCCTGCTTCCAGCAATGAACTGGTCATCCAAACAGGAAGTCAATAAGGAAATATCAACATTAAATGACATTAGAACAAATGGACATAATTGATATTTATAGACTTTTTCTTGCTAAAACACCAGACTATACATTCTCCCCTAGTATGCATAAAAGATTCTCAAGGATAGGCCATATGTTGGACACCAAACTAGCCTCAGAAGTTTGAAATCATACCAATACATGTTCTAACCACAGTGCTTTGAAATTGGAAATCAACTACAAAAAGAAAGCTGGAAAAAACACAAATATGTGGAGATTAAACAGCATGCTAGTAAATAATGGTTGGGTCAAAGAAGAAATAAAGGAGGTAATCAAAAGATACATAGAGACAAATGAGATTAATAATATGCCATACCACTATTTTGGGGATGGAGCAAAAGTGATATTAAGAGGGAAGTGTATGTCATTACAGGCCTATCTCAAGAAACAAGAAAATTTTCAAATAACCAAATATTTCACTTTTAAAAATCTGTAAAAAAAAGAACAAATGAAGCCCAAAATCATTAGAAGAAAGAAAATTTAAAATTTGAGGAGAATTAAACAAAATATAGAATAAATAGGCAATAGAAAAAAATAATGCAACAAAGAGCTGGTTCTTTTACAAGATTAATAAAATTGACAAACCTCTGGCTTGACTCAATAAAAAGAGAAAAGACTCAAGCAAAATCAGAAATGAAAAAGAAGTTATAATAGACAGCAGAAATGAAAAGTACTATGTAAGAATATTATGAAACACTATAAATCATGAATTTAGATAACCTAGAAGAAATGGACAAGTTCTTAGAAATACATCACCTTCCTAGACTGAATCATAAAGAACTGAAAAATCTAAGTAGATCAATCAACAGTAAAGAAATTGAAAGTCATAAAAACCTCCTGAAAAGTAAAAGTCAAGGACCAAATAGCTTATTAGTGAATTCAACCAAAAACTCAAAAAAGATTTAATACCTATCATTCACAAAAAATTGAAGAGGCCATATTTTCTAACACATTTTATTAGGCCAACATTACCCTGATACCAAAAATCTGGCATAAATAACTCAGATAAAAATGAAAACTACAGACCAATATCTCTGATGAGTATGGGTGCAAAAATCCTAAACAAAATACTAGCAAATCAAAACAACAACACATTTAAAAGATAATACATCACTGAGAGGGAAGATGGAGGCACTCTGACAAGGAGAAGACCACCTTTGCTCCCAGCCATGGACTCGATTTACCACTAAAATACTGTGTAACCACCTTGGAAGAACCAGAGAAATATACCTGAGTGGACATATTTTGAGTAAGGAGAACTGAAGGAACATCATAGAGTCTGGTAAGCGAGGGTTGTGTTGAAAGGAGGAGTCCCCTCTGAAGCCATTGCTGGGTTGGGATGCCTGAGGGTTAAAGGCTGCAAAACTCCTCTTGGCAGTGTGGACTGGCATCCAAAAGGTGGGGTCTCAAGCCCAGAGTGGAGGAGAAGGGAAGGAGAGCCTGTGCAGGGTGGGCAGAGGGAGCCAGGGGACCAGTGTGCCTGTGAAGAACGGAACATGCCTCCTCAGTGAAACAATGAAAGTAATGATGGAGGCTGGGACAGGAGACTTTCACCCTGGGCACTGACCACAGGAAAGGCTGTCCCACAGTGTGTGGCTTCAAAATAGAAAGGGGCCAAAGGGCTGCACTCAGCAGCCACCTATAGGGACCCTCTGCTTTCCTGTAAGACATTGTGTGGAACCCCAAAAAAGCATTTGAACTGTGTGGCATAGGGAAGGGGATGAGAGCCCTCCTGCCACCAGAGAAGGATTGGAACTGCTGGTGGGGCAAATCTGGACACCAGTGGTGGGAGAGGGACCAGAGCCACCAGCAAGGGAGCCAGGGGCTCCAGCCACCGGAGCTGCCAGTGAGATGAATCGGAGATTTTTAACCCATTCTGAGGGGATCTGGGATAGCATGAAAGGAGCTGCCCTAGCTTTACTGAAATCAAGGGCATGGGGAACTTTGCAACCCCTTGCTTGGTTCTGAGGTGCGGGTTCTCTGCCTGTTTGCTGCTTTGTGTGTTTTTCAGTTTTTGATTGCTGAATGGGCATCCACCTTCCTTGTTTGAATGGGAGAGACAGACCAGTGAAAGCTGGGGCTTGTGTTTGCATGGTGGAGAGTTTGAACTGGAATGCCTGTGAGATCAGCCAACCAGATCTGAGAAGGGAGGGGCCTAATACACCCACCTTGCCCTCAGGCTAAGAGCACCACCCCAAACTGGGAAGGGGCTGGCTCAGCTCACTGAAGCCCCAGATATACCCCACAAGGCACAGTCCTGGGGGAGAAGGGAGACCAGCTCACCTGACAACAATACAAGAATAAGATTCTTGTTTGGGAACTGAAGGAAAAGCTTAAAACCCTTTCTGGCAGCTGGGCAGGCAATGTGCTCACCGCATCTTTTTTTAATTGAACCCACTGAGCCCAAGCCACTGAAACTTCCCTTACAGAAAAGACGACAGACTGAAGTCAATCTGAACCTGCAGCAGGCCATTGTATGGGGAACTAGAATTGGAAAATAAGGTAGAGACTGAGGAGGTAGCTTTGAAGCAGAGACTAACTTCCCCACAGTGAGTGCCTGACAGCAAAACTTCTAAGTAAGGTGAGCAATATCCTGAGGTGCACTAGCCACCCTGCACCCTAAAGACTCTTCAGAAGACTCTGGAGAATGACCAGGCAACCAAGCACAAGGGGGAGGCAAGAGAGCTCACAAGTGGAGGTGGTCCAGGGAGAGCCTCAGATCAGCCAACTACCTAATTACACCAGAGGCAAACCTAGACAGCTCCTCACATTGGCTGATGCACAAGGACCTCCCAGGAGAACTGAAATCAGCCCACAAAACAGTGAGCCGCAGATGACATAAGCTGCCCAGATGAAACTCACCTGATTGACTTTTTGAAAAAAAGAGAGAAAAGGAAAACATTTTCTTTTTAAATTTTTAAAAATTTTTTAGTTAATTATTTTAAAATTTGTTTTGCTATGCTTGTTTTTTGCTTTGTTTTGTTCTATTTTCAAGATTTTCTTGATATTCTCTGTTTTACTGCTGAAATATTATCATTATAACCTACAAGTTTACTGCTTTTCTCTATTGTTTCCCCCGTATCGCTTATTGGCCTCCTTCTCTGTGCCTGGTTTACCTCTTTCTCTATTCTTGTTCCATAGGAATAACTTTCTTGTTTTCTTTTCTTTCCTTTATCTTCAATTTTATTCTCCATCTTCCTGTCCTTTTGTTTGTTTATGTTTTTGTCTTTTATTTTATTTTAAAGTTTTCATTCAACCATTTTCTTATTACTATGTTCTACCCTTAATTTTTTGCTTGCCCTTGTTTCCTTTCAGAATCTTTTCTCCATCCCCTTTATCTCTCAGTAGCTTGTCTATTTTTTACTTTTTATTTTATTATTATTTTTATTTTTATTTACTATTACCAATAATATCCTCTCTCTCTCTCTCTCTCCATATATATATATATATATATATACACACACACACACACACACACACACACACACACACACATATATATGGTGGGGTTTGTGGGTTTTTTTTTTTTTGCTTTAGCATTTGTGTTCTTGCTTTGCTCTCCAAATTGTACTCTCTTGAGACATATTCATTGTGATTCACAGAATATTTTGCAAGTTACTGTTTCTTTCCTGACAGTTTGGTTGTGTTTTGTTTTGTCCTGTCAGCACCTATACAATAGCTCACACAACAGGGTTGGGGCTGAGCCAAACAGCAAACCTAAGAAGAGAGTCCTCTCAAGAACAGGTCAACAACAATCTAGACCCATCACAAGAGGAGACCCCAAACAACCCACAAAAGGGACACTCCTAGAGCAAATAGCTCAAGAGTATAAGGAAAATACATCTCTGGATTACACTGGACATACACTACAAAATTCCACCCCACAAGAATGGGAGACAGCAAATATATCTAATATACAGCAACAAACACTAATTGTCACTAAAATGGGGAGACAAAGAAAAAAAAACCCAAATTAAGAAAAGGAAAAATCACCAGAAAAAGACCTTGATGAGATGGAGTTAAGCAGGTTATCAGAAATAGAGCTCAGAGTAATGATTATAAAGATGTTCAAGGAAATTAATGAGAACCACAAGACCCTTAATGGGAAGGTCCAGGAACATAGTGAAAACATGAAAAAGAGAGAGGTATGATAAATAAGAACCAGGCAGAAATGAAGAATACTATATCTGATATCAAGAATATGCTGGAAGGAATTAAAATCAGTCTCAGTAAGCAGAAGATAAAATAAGTGAATTAAAAGATAAGGTAGAAAAAAATCAGAGCAGCAAAAAAAAAAAAAACAACAACACACTTAAAAAGCATGAAAACAGTTTAAGGGAGCT